TCCTGCTCATTAGCGTCTAAGAAAGTAAGCAGATAAGTAATCTTTATTTAAATACCGCCTTTCACAGACCAGAGTCACAAAGCGGTTTACAATTGTGGGCATTTGTCCTCTCGCTCCACACAGAGATGGTCCATGTCATTGAAAGAAATGTGGTTAATCGATAGAAACTACATGAACTTTAAACAAGAATGTGTCAGTAATAAGTCAAGTATGACAACTGTGGCGTCACTGTTACTGAAATTACAAAACATTCCACCCATTGTTTAAGGACCAATTACCTAAACACGCATGCATACTTTCTCATCATACATCTTGTGTCTTCAGAAAGAGAGTAGATCATTGATGACAGCCACTGCGAGCTGCAGAGAGACGGCAGGTGCGTTAATTTGTTTCAGGACATACTTAAGACATGAAAAATTGAAGGCAGGTTTCAAGAGGACTGCCTTGGGCTAGTCCAAGGCACTCTTGTTTAGAAAAAATGAAAAATCATCATATTGTATCTGTTTGCTGACCAAGAGATGTGAGGCTGAAATACATTGGTGTGCATTACATCATGTTGATCTCAGCCCCGAGCTGCCTTCTCCTTCATTGTCCTTCCTTCTGTTTCAAAAGTGGCCTTTTAATGAGACAGGGAAGCTCCAAGTCATTGCTCCTGTACGATTATCTCAATAATAATGTAAGAAATTAGCAACACAGAATTCAACCCTTTAAGAATCACTCTCCCTATACATGATTCATTCATTCATTTATTTTCATTTAGATATTCAGATAGATTCAAATATTTTTAATTTAACAGCATCAGTATTAGTATTCACTTGTGTGTGATACCTTTCAAATGAGGCATCATAACATCAACAACATCAGACACAAGATGTCCACACAATAAGCATTTCCATTTGGGTATCATAATTCGATAGGGAACAGGCAAAATTAGGTGAGCCTGAGGAATGCTTTCGACTACCACTAACTGCTCCCATAAACCTCAACTCTCACTATCTGCTGCGCTCCACTCTGTTGCGATGCAAGGCTGCAGGAGGAGAGAGTGCCCCTGAGGCCCCAAGGGAGCTCCGTACCTCTTTTTGAGAAAAAATACCATAGGGTATAGGGTAAAACATACTTGCAGATCTTCTGTACCTGTTTCTACAGTACATTGTGATCATATAGATAAACTTGTTTATTAATATGTGACCTTAATGGCCCCAGAGCACCTAACGTTGCAGGCTGACTTGTTGTAAATCCTATAACATTTGTGAAGTACAGGTGTTTTATTATCCCCAAATAAAGTTTTCAAGTCGAGGATATTTACATTAATAAAGCTATTGCTAATACCTCGCTCCATCTTGCAGGACAGGTTTATGACCACGCCTCGACCTGCCATGTATGGACAGGTGGCCACACCTTTTCCACACCTGACTCAACATAAAAGGGAACAGCTCAGCATCATTGAGTCACAGATCTTCAGAGAAATCCTCTGTTCAGTCTTTGAAACCTCAGCCTTGGAATCTTCAGCCTCCTCTCAACGCCCGACAGGTGATTAGTTCATGGTTTATAGTTCCATCTTTTGTTTTAATTCTAGGTTTAAATTGTATGTTATCTTTATCAAGTAGGTCTAAATTATTTCAAAGTGAAGATTATAGATTATCTGCTCTTTCTTAGCTACTCTGGTGTACCAGCTTTAGTTAAAGGAGCTATACCCGTTTCTGCAAGGTTTGAGTGTTTAGCACCGCCTCCCAACTCGCTCAGAGCCTTCTCATTTCCCCTACGCTCTCATCCCACAAAGCCATCTAGTTGTATTTGCGATCTGATTCTAACATCTTCTGATTCATGCTTCTTCTAGCATGAGAGCAACTTAAGCTGTACAACAATCACTGATGAAATGGTACAAAAGCAAAACACTGCTAACACAATATATAACTGAAAGATTACCGCTAGTTCCGCGTCCGAATGTAGTCCGAGCATAGATAGTCCGAGCACAGATAGTCCGAGCACAGATAGTCCGAGCACAGATAGTCCCAGCATAGATAGTCCGAGCATAGATAGTGAAGTCAATAATTCCCTTGACTGACGTGTTCGAGTTGATGCAGAGGCATGACACAGATCTCCAAGTTTAACATCTGCATTTAATTATTTTTACAATCAGATACAAAACGAACAGTCTTTAACCTGGATTTGAACATTGACAGAGTAGACGCCTCCCTCACATTTTCAGGGAGATTGTTCCAGATCTTAGCTGCATGGATCTGAAACGCAGCCTCCCCATGTTTGGTTCTCACTCTGGGCACCAGCAGGAGGCCAGTCCCTGTGCGTCCTCATCCGGGCTGGTTCATATGACACCAACATGTCACTAAAGTATTCTGGTGCAAGGCCATGGAGAGACTTGTACACAAGCAGAGCCGTTTTTAAAATCTATTCTTTGAGCCACAGGAAGCCAGTGCAAAGACCTGAGGACCGGACTAAAATGGTCATACTTCCTGGTTCCTGTCAGGACTCTAGCTGCTGCATTTTGGATGTACTGCAGCTGCTTACAGGTCTGTTTGGACAGACCTGTAAGCAGGCCATTGCAGTAGTCTAGCCTGCTGGAGACAAATGCATGGACAAGAATCTCCAAGTCTGCCCTGGACACTATATTTCTAACTTTGGCAATGTTCTTCAGATTGGTAAAAAAGCTGTTGATGTTTATTGATTTTTATGTGGCTATTGAAATTTAGGTCTGAGTCCAGTATTACCCCAAATTTCTGACCTTGTCTGAAGGAAGTAGGGAGAGAGACTGAAGTTGACAATGACGCCCTCTCTTTGTTTCCTGGGGACCAAAGACAATGATTTCGGTTTTGTCTGTATTTAGCTGGAGGAAATTATTTTGCATCCAGTCACTGATCTGTTGGATACAGTGAAGGAGCAAATCCAGTGGTCCATGTTCTCCTGCAGTCAGTGAGACATAGATCTGAGTGTCGTCAGCGTAATTGTGGTAGGACACTTTGTTTCTTTGTATTAACTGACCTAAACGGCAGCATGTAGAGATTAAATAGGAGAGGTCCCAGGATCGACCCCTGTGGTACACCACAGGTCAGGGCCACATCATCTGAGACGCAGTCTCCAATCTCCACAGAGTACTTTCCTATCCTCCAGGTAAGACCTAAACCAGTCTAGGGCTGTGCCAGTGACACCAGCCCAGTCCTCCAGTCTCTGCATGAGGAATCTCATGGTCGACAGTGTCGAACGCGGCACTAAGATCTAACATGACCAAAACTGTGACTTTACCTGCATCAGTGTGAAGTCGAATGTCGTTTGTTTACCTTCACTAGAGCGGTCTCAGTGCTGTGGTGGGGTCTAAACCCAGACTGGAACATATCAAAAGAATTATTCATTGTTAAAAATTCAGTAAGTTGTTGGGAGGCCACTTTTTTTCAAGAATTTTTCCAATAAATGGCAGATTCGATATGGGGCGATAATTTTGAAGTCCCGCAGGATCCAGACTGCTCTTTTTTAGGAGAGGTCTTATGACTGCTGTTTTTAGGGCCATAGGAAATGTTCCTGACGACAGAGACATGTTTACTATTTGTGTCAGTGAAGGTAACAAACTGCTCAGGACGGACTTCAGAAATTTAGAGGGCAATATATCCAGGCTACATGTGGAGGAGCTCAGACTCATGATTATCTTTTTGACAGTTTCAGTATCCACAGGTGCAAAGTGAGTTAGCTCAGAAAGCTTCTCTGGCTGTTGCATTGTTATACGTGCTGTGGAGGTGATAGTGTTTTTGATTCCTTGTACTTTGTCATCGAAAAAACTGTGCGAACTCATTACACCTAGATTTAGAGGAAAATTCTAGGGGCAACTTTACAGGGGGGTTCGTTAATCTACCAACTGTTGAAAACTAACACGAAAATTGTTACTGCAACCTCCAATAATGTCAGAAAAATACATTTCTCTTGTTCTACGTAGAACCCGGTTAAATTCACCCAACTCATCTTTAAAGATTTCATAATCGCCCTGGAAATTGGACTTTCGCCACTTCCGTTCGGCCCTCCGGCACTCTTGCTTCTGTGCCCTAACCGAGTCTGCCTTAGTCCATGGGGCCTTTTTCTTACTGGTAACTATTTTAACCGTCACAGGAGCAATGGCGTCCAGAACAGTCAGAACACTGGTGGTGACAGAGTTATACAATTCATCAACAGTAGAGCATGGAGTTTTCTCAAAATTTAGCATTCCCATGAACAGTTCACTTGTGTTTTCATGTATGTGTCTTCTTCTAACAGTTGTAAATTCAGCTGGTGGTTTGCTAGCAAAACACATGTCAAAAAATACACAGAAATGATCTGACAAAGCAACATCAACTACATTAACATTTGATACATTAACCCCCTTTGTAATTAGCAGGTCAAGAGTGTGCCCCCTGCTGTGGGTGGGGCCACTCACGTGCTGAATGAAACCAAAGGTCTCAAAGCATCAGTATTAGTATTCACTTGTGTGTGATACCTTTCAAATGAGGCATCATAACATCAACAACATCAGACACAAGATGTCCACACAATAAGCATTTCCATTTGGGTATCATAATTCGAGTGGGAACAGGCGAAATTAGGTGAGCCTGAGGAATGCTTTCGACTACCACTAACTGCTCATAAACCTCAACTCTCACTATCTGCTGCGCTCCACTCTGTTGCAATGCAAGGCTGCAGGAGTAGAGAGTGCCCCTGAGGCCCCAAGGGAGCTCCGTAACTCTTTTTGAGAATAAAAAACCATGGGGTATATGGTAAAACATACTTGCAGATCTTCTGTACCTGTTTCTACAGTACATTGTGATCATATAGATAAACTTGTTTATTAATATGTGACCTTAATGGCCCCAGAGCACCTAACGTTGCAGGCTGACTTGTTGTAAATCCTATAACTTTTGTGAAGTACAGGTGTTTTATTATCCCCAAATAAAGTTTTCAAGTCGAGGATATTTACATTAATAAAGCTATTGCTAATACCTCGCTCCATCTTGCAGGACAGGTTTATGACCACGCCTCGACCTGCCATGTATGGACAGGTGGCCACACCTTTTCCACACCTGAATCAACATAAAAGGGAACAGCTCAGCATCATTGAGTCACAGATCTTCAGAGAAATCCTCTGTTCAGTCTTTGAAACCTCAGCCTTGGAATCTTCAGCCTCCTCGCAACGCCCGACAGGTGATTAGTAGTTCATGGTTTATAGTTCCATCTTTTGTTTTAATTCTAGGTTTAAATTGTATGTTATCTTTATCAAGTAGGTCTAAATTATTTCAAAGTGAAGATTATAGATTATCTGCTCTTTCTTAGCTACTCTGGTGTACCAGCTTTAGTTAAAGGAGCTATACCGTTTCTGCAAGGTTTGAGTGTTTAGCACCGCCTCCCAACTCGCTCAGAGCCTTCTCATTTCCCCTACGCTCTCATCCCACAAAGCCATCTAGTTGTATTTGCGATCTGATTCTAACATCTTCTGATTCATGCTTCTTCTAGCATGAGCGCAACTTAAGCTGTACAACAATCACTGATGAAATGGTACAAAAGCAAAACACTGCTAACACAATATATAACTGAAAGATTACCGCTAGTTCCGCGTCCGAATGTAGTCCGAGCATAGATAGTCCGAGCACAGATAGTCCGAGCACAGATAGTCCGAGCACAGATAGTCCCAGCATAGATAGTCCGAGCATAGATAGTCCGAGCACAGATAGTCCGAGCACAGATAGTCCGAGCACAGATAGTCCCAGCATAGATAGTCCGAGCATAGATAGTCCGAGCACAGATAGTCCCAGCATAGATAGTCCGAGCACAGATAGTCCCAGCATAGATAGTCCGAGGCGGTCCCGCAGGTCTCTCCCATAGACAAGTCTCTCCAGAGGATTCGATGTAAGCTAGCCATGTTCACACGGGCTTGGTTTCTTCTTTGATAATTTTTTCGCTTTAGTTCCCTCTTCTCTTCCGCACTGTTGTGTCGTTTGGGTTGATTTTCTGTGTCTGCAGTTACAGCAAGAAGAGTTATAGCCAATTCTGCTAACATGTTACTGTTTTTAGCAGCGCTGTAGAGGTTAGAGGACGCTGCCTCGTTCTGTGATTGGAGGAGAGCTGGCGTCACGCTAAAGTCTCTACTCAGCACTTTTATAAGGCCTGAATTCATACACCACTGAATCATTGAGCTCAAGTTTTCAATTAAATTACAGTTTATAATACAACTTGTATGTAGTAATAAGAATTTTTATGAACTCAGAAATTAAAACGGGTATAGCTTCTTTTTTATGACTGAAATAAACAACAGTAAACATTGTGTTTGTTTCTGTTCCTGCCTCAGCTGCACAGGTGGAGCTCCTTCATCATGCTCAGCCTCCTGCTGTGTCTCTCGGCCCTGGCACCTCTGGCCGGTGAGTGGGAACATACACTGCACACAAGCCTGAAGTTTCACATTATTCCAATCTCGGGTTTCATTAAGTTTTACATTACGTTTATATGATATAATTTATTCATATCCACACACTTTTTAGCAACCATTTATTTGTACAGACATGTATACGGACATTTTGAAGGCTTATATATACCGGCAGAATGTTGTTAAAATCAATAATTACCTGCATGAAGAGCCAATGGAGAGCTTTTCAAACTGATGTAATACAATACTTTGAGACTGCACATCTGCTTTTTTGCCTATTCCCTGCTGTTTGGGTCCCACTGATGGAAACAGGACATGTTGTGCCGAGCAGCCTGCGTACTGCCTTACTTTGACACACCCTGAGTTGTTATCTTTGGAAAACTCGCAAAGATCTATGGAAAATCGCATGTATTTGGGCATCGTCTGGTCCTCCGGTTCTGCGCAGTGGATTGATCTCCCATAATGCGTTGCGTCAACACGCGTGTTTGTGGGTCTCACACAGGTCTCACGACGTGCATGCGGGGTCTCGGCCGCGCCTCTGACCAATCCCCCCCCCCCCCCCCCCACCCCACCCCCCAAAACCCCCCACCCCCCACCCCACCCCCCCCACCCCAAAAGCAGTTCATCAGAGCGGGAGTTTAGAGCGAGAGCCAGAGGAGAGGAGTTTGTGGCACTAATGTGTGGATTTAAACAATAAACGAAGATTAGAAGAAAAAAAGTTCAGGATGAACATGGGACACTAAAAATCCCAACAAAATCCTATCTTTATTAAAGTGTACTGTAGGTTCTCTGTCAGCTGAGGGTCGTAGAGTTTTAATATGCATTGAGTCCTATGGGGAACATTTCTGGGTAGCCCACGTGAATTTAGTCTGGTTCAGTCGCAGTACCACGAGAATCACTGAGCACATGAGTTATTCAGCTACAAGCTAGTAATTCCGCTATCTGTTAATATAATACATCCTTGGTCCCCTGTTATGTAGGTTGTCGAAGGAATGAGATGGCAGATGGTGTGAATGCAGGCTATAAAGAGGAGGGAGGTTAGCCTGCCGTACTCCATAGTAAGTTCCCACGAGAAAAAGAGTATCGTAAAAGGGCCAAACTATAAGGGAATTGGCGATGCTATGGAACTATGACCAAAAGGGTAGGCATTTGTGTAGTTTTCAGAAAAGGTGGGAAAGATGAGGGGCATCAGGAAATAAATAAGGATATTAGAAGATGTAATGTCAAGAATGACGTTTGCCCGATGTATCAATGGGAGAGAAAAAGTGTTGTAGGAAACATTTATATAGAGCGATTTGAAACACCAATTAATTTTTTTAATCAATAAACGCTTATAATATGTTAATTATTAGTGCTCTTACATAACCTGGTCATTTTTTGGTATTTAGTTCAAATTAGATAAAAAAAAATTTCTCGCTTTTGAGCCAAAAAACGTCTGGTGTGTCGCCCTCTTACCTTTTTTGGTGGTTACTACATTTGTATTTGGTTCTGGCATCTCCATTGGACTCGGAAAGTATCTATGACCGTCAGTTGGTTTGTGTGACGTCAGTCTGTCTGCGCCTGTGATATAAATCCATTCAACTCTCACACACGCTAGGGTTGCCAACTTGAGACAAAAAAATAAGGGACATCCATTTGGGTGGATCGGTTTGAGCACTTTTTAGTCCAAATTTCAATCTACACAGTAATCATTGGTATTTCATTATTCAGTATTGACAACTTATAAAAAAAATAACAAATCCTTAGTCAAAATGTATTGAATATGGAGGATTAATGCATTTCTTATTAATAATATAAAAATATAAAATAGACAATGCTGTAACATACATTTTATTTTATGTATATTACATTAAAGCCATTTTCTGTAAAAGCAAATAAAAACATAAAAACTTGTATTCATAAAAAAACTCACAAATGTTGAATCAAAAGTATGTAGCTAGTTAGACATGGTCTTTATTTTATATAGTCTTAGAGTTTAGTGTTTTCAGTAGTATTTTAGTGTTTTTAGCTTTCAGTAAAAAGTATTGTTCGTTTACAAAGCTGTCTGGAAATGTTTTGACGCTTCCTAGCGCTTTTCTCTGCGCTGGCCGTACATTGGATTCAATGGATTTTCTGGCATTAAAAACAACGCATTGGATTTGGAAAATTCACATAGAGATGATCATTTTGCACAGTGATTTTTTTTTAACAAAGTAGGCTTTCGTGAACTATTGACCTCGGGAGTCCGAATCTAGGGAATTTGGCGCTACTTTACCCATGAAAACTTCTGCTATGATGAAGCTGCAGGAGAGGCCCTCGCTGACGCCTGGTCAACATTATGACCCCTTGCATGTGAGTCCCGGCCACGCACTCTCCATGGACTGACGCGAATTAATGGAGCCGCATGGACACTGACCAATAAAAAACCTGTTTCAGCGCATTACAGCAAACTGTGAATTTTGCAGTTGTGGTTGATTATACTAACAGGCACGGTCATAAGATTGTTTATCTGATACCCATGCGATGGCCAGCGGCAATTAACCAAAGGACTGGGACCCATCAAAGTACTCCCTATATGCAGTGGGAAACACTTTTTACAGATAAAGGCAATCATCAAGTTTGTATTTATTTTTTTTCCATTAATTTGGGAGGACATGACACACGTCAACGTGTCTGTTACTATGTCCTGTATGTGGCTGCAACATTGACATTTGTATCTTTTAATAGTCAATTGCGTGTTTCACTTATTTTCTCTCCGTCAGTACGTATATATTTGGATGTAGATCAGAAAAGGCACAGAAATGTGGACTATTGCTAATGCTACCAGCAAAATGTACATATAAATCTGCTCCAGTGTAAGGGGATGCATTGTTAACGATAATGATTAAGATCCTGTAGGGTGAATTTGGGCAATATTGATTTAGTTTTAACGATAAACATTGACTGGGGGAGAGGTAGGGTCAACATCCAGTTAGGCAATCCTGATCTTCTCCAAATACCACTCTTTGTGAGCACTGACCTGATGTCCTACTTCCTCTAGATCGAATCGAAACATGGCTTGAGCAGGCCACTTCTCGAATTAGATAGGAAGCTCCGTTTTTAGAGTTGTGTCCGTTTTGCTCGGCAGAATGCTAGTTTCCAATACTTCCGCGTATAGCTCAGGCCAAATCACGTGAATGGATGATGTTGATTGCATCGGGTCAATACCCAATGGATGTGATCAAGCCTACGCCCCTTTGACCTGATTGGCGAAAGGTAGACGCTTGAAACTGTGATTACTTTGTGTGTGTTGTGTGCGCGAGTGTGTCGCGCGGTGTGTGTGGACATGCAGTGAGTGGGAGTGAGCATTCAAGGTGGCTCTAAAATTAGGGACAAAGCGTCCACGTTATCGATTCAATACGGGTCGCACATAGTGTTTTTTTAATAACAGGACAAATCCGTATTTCAAGGGACGGTTGAACAATCCTACACAACGCCCCAGCGGCAGTTTGGAGTATTCTGGCGACATATAGTGGGATTAAGATTAATGGACATGCGTAATTCTGTGATTAGTGTGTGTGATTTGGTTCAGGTTTGTAGCTTTACATTTATCTTAGTGAGTAACAGGGTGGAAAGAGACTTTCTTGGTGTGTAAAATTTTGCTTTAAAGCAGCAATGACAACTGTCTGCTTATTTTTTTTTTTTTGTGTGACAAGTGAGCTGTCAATCACAGCTAGACCACGCCCCACTCTAAGCCCCCCTTCGTGTCACTTGGTCTCAAGGCAACGCCCTTTTTAGAGAAAAATTTCATATTTTATGTGGGCGTATAAAGCGGGGCACAGGTGTTTAGTGGCTCTTTAGGGCAGAATGTACAGTTCAATCTTCAGGTCATATGTAAAGAAATCGTCAAGTATTTTATTTAAAACGAAAACTAATAGAAGAATATTGAAGGTCAAATTATACTGGGTCACACTCCAGTCAGTAGGTGGTGGTAAATGCACTCCGAAAGGTTGTTTGCCCACCGCCATAAATCCAAAAGAAGAAGAAAGCAGAATACTTTCACTTCACACGGTGGTCTATCCTGCTACCATAGCCACAGTTGCACTGGGAGGAGGCCACACCACACCATCACATTGACTCTTTGGGATTTTGTTTTGTAGTATAAACTTCATGTCAAAATAGTAATGTACAGTTTTATGGATGAGGCACCTAATCCGACTAAATTGGAAGTGGGAAAACCATGGTCATTGAAGTGCAGTTAAAAAGGGTAAGTTAAAAATATATTTATTTGAACAAAAGCACATGAACGGTGCAAATACATCTCATATACCAAAGTTTCTTAGCATAGAGATGTCGGCCATGAGCTGCAGCTGGTCGCAGAGCCAATCATGGCCTGAAGTAACAGCTCTATGAGGAGGTGTGGGCTGATGGTGCGGAGCGAGGAAGCCATGAGGAGAATGTGCCAAAGCGATCCTTTCCTCCATGTGGAGCAGGTGTACACATCACTGAGCGCCGTTTTCAGGCTTCCTGCTGCAGCGCTGCCACGTAGAAGGCCGGGGTTTCAGCTCGGGACATTATGGGGAGGAGTATGACCAGTCACAGGAGACAAATTTGTGCAAAATCCACTTTTTAAGCTGTCAATTCCTGTTCTCTTTTGCTTTGGCACAGACTAGGGGCCTCATGTAAAATTTGTACGGCATCAACATTCTACGTATATCACCTTTCCATCTCAAATATTCAATAATATACAATTTTGACTTGTGTATCTTTCAGAGAATGATTACTTGGAACATAAGCTTGAACATTTGGATTCAAACTGTTTGATTATTGTTACTAGTTTGTATTACATTAATTTACCACAAGCAAGCTAAAAGTAAAGGTAGGAGAATTTTTACTACTGGGGGATCATCCAAGACTATTGGTACACCCAATTGTCAAATCATTCTGCTGATACGTGGCTGGTCAAAAAATATGACTGAAAGTTTTGTTGAAAAAGTGGTGAGGGCTGTTCTTTCTTTGGGAAAATCCTCTAGTTTTACAG